CCACGACAATATCCCCTCCAAATTCCTCAGAGACACAGCAACCGCCATCTCACCAGTCATCGCTCACATAATTAACCTCTCCATAAAACAGGGAAAAGTACCCAAAGACTTCAAAATTGCAAGAGTAACCCCCCTGCACAAAAAGGGCAGCAAATTGGACCCAGGCAACTACCGCCCTGTTTCTATACTTACCTCCATCTCGAAAGTCATGGAAAAAATAGTATATGAACAGGTCGAAAAGTACCTCGCGGAAAAGAAACTAATCTATGAATTTCAATCTGGCTTTAGAACATCCCACTCCACTGACACATGCCTTCTTTATTTGAGCGACCACATCAAACAAGAGGTGGACGAGGGCAAGTACTGCGGCATGGTGATGCTGGACCTACAAAAGGCTTTCGACACTGTCAATCACCCCATTCTGATTGACAAGCTAAAAGCAATTGGTTTTGATAAACTATCGGTGAGCTGGATGCAATCCTACCTGGAGGGGAGAGAACAGATGGTGGAGGTAAACGGTACTCTGTCCCCCCCCCTCCCAGTGAGCTGTGGTGTTCCACAAGGAAGCATATTAGGTGCGTTACTGTTCCTAATTTATGTAAATGACATGTCATCAGCATGGAGTTTCAGGCTCTGCACTTTCCCTCCTCACCTCATACCTGAAAGACCGTACCTACAGGGTGACTTGGAGAGGGTCTGAGTCCGACCCTTGTCAATTAACTACGGGGGTCCCTCAGGGCTCTGTTCTTGGTCCCCTCCTCTTCTCCCTGTACACAAACTCGCTCGGATCAGTCATTAGCCCGCATGGTTTTTCTTACCACTGCTACGCTGACGACACCCAATTAATTCTGTCCTTTCCCCGCTCAGAGACCCAGGTCGTCGCACGCATCTCTGCTTGTCTAGCTGACATCTCTCAGTGGATGTCTGCTCATCACCTCAAGCTCAACCTTGACAAGACTGAGCTGCTCTTCCTTCCGGGAAAAGATTGTCCCACTCTTGACCTAACAATCAACATCGGCACCTCAGTTGTTTCCCCCGACTCAGACTGCAAGGAATCTGGGTGTGACCCTAGATAACAACCTGTCCTTCACTGCAAACATCGCTGCTACAACCCATTGCTGCAGATACACGCTTTACAACATCAGGAAGATACGTCCCCAGCTGACACAGAAAGCGACTCAGGTTCTGGTCCAGGCTCTCGTCATCTCACGCCTAGACTACTGCAACTCCCTCCTGGCTGGTCTACCTGCATGTGCCATCCGACCTCTGCAGCTCATCCAGAATGCAGCGGCTCGTCTGGTCTTCAACCTTCCTAAATGTTCCCACACTACTCCGCTCCTACGCTCGCTTCACTGGCTTCCGGTAACTGCTAGAATCCACTTCAAGACACTGGTACTTGCTTACCATGCTGCGAATGGATCTGGCCCTTCCTACATCCAGGACATGGTTAAACTGTACACCCCAGCACGTGCACTCCGCTCTGCATCAGCCAAACGACTCGCTGCGCCCTCGCTGCGAGGGGGACCCAAGTTCCCAACGGCGAAAACACGTGGGTTTGCTATCCTGGCTCCAGGATGGTGGAATGAGCTCCCCATTGACATCAGGACGGCAGATAGCTTGCACATCTTCCGGCGCAAACTGAAAACTCATCTCTTTCGACTCCACTTCGAGCGTTAGAACTATTAACAAAGCACTTATATACTAATAAAGGACTGGCTGATCTAAAGCCAGTTGAGTAGCACTTGAAATGTTTTTGCTCTATGAAACCTGATGTACTTATATGATTCTGTTTTCTTCAAGTTGTATTTTGTTGGACGAACGCACTTATTGTAAGTCGCTTTGGATAAAAGCGTCAGCTAAATGCAATGTAATGTAATGTGACTGCAACTTGTTCCTGTTCGCGGACGACTCAGCCCTGCTGGTCTCTGACAGGAACGGGTTGCAGGTTGAAAAAACCCTCAGCTCCGAGCTCGGCAGAATCTGCACCTGGCTCGCAGATAATACATTATCATTACACCTGGGTAAAACAGAGTCCATTCTCTTCGGTTCGAAACATAATCTCAGCAAATCCGACGACTTCTCAGTTGCAGTGGGCGACATTATTGTCACAAGTAAGAAGGAAATTACATACCTAGGATCTATTCTTGAGGCAAACCTCTCCTGTGACAAAATGGCATCCAATGTAATAAAAAAAGTCAATCAAAGAACTAGATTCCTATACCGGATCTCCTCTCTGGTAAACAAAAACACCCTGAAAACTCTGGCAGGAGCACTCATTCAAGGGTACTATGACTATGCTTGCACGTCATGGTACCATAGCACCTCCAAGGCGCTAAAAATAAAACTTCAAACATCGCAAAATAAACTGGTCAGACTACTGCTTGACCTTTCATCTAGAACCCACCTCACCTCTGCCCACTTTGACAACCTAGGATGGCTTAGAGTAGACGACAGAGTACAGCTACTTGCAATGGGCCTGGTCTACAAGATCCACTACACCTCTATGGTACCCATGTACATGTCAAAATTCTTCCCAAAGGTCAAGGAATACCATGATCATAACACCAGAGGGAGCTCCACAAATCATGTGAAACCCAGATTTGGCACAAAAAAGGGGGAATACACGTTTCGCAATTATGCCACATCAAGGTGGAACGCTCTTCCCACAACTGTAAAGGAAAGTAAAACTATACTTACCTTCAAAACCTCTCTTAAAGAGCACCTTCGGGGGAGAGCATTGCAAAACTGGCCCCGGTAATGGTACAAATCTCAACCTGTCGTTCAATGGACAGCTTCCCCGCCCCCCATCTATGTATATACTCGCATTTTAGACTCTGTTACTAACTGTATATCTGTAGACTTGGTATGTCTTAAATGTCCGGTTAGGATGTATTAGAACGAAATCTAAAATGAAATTTGTAAACAAGCAATCTGTATGTAAAAAACCACCTGTATGTAAATTGTAAATAAGCCGTCTGTATGTCAAATATGTCTTATATGTCTTAAATGATATGATGAATTGGAAATGGGGGACCCCGATGTAAACAAGACGAAAGTCTTTCTCTGGTCTGCATCCCCTTAACAATTGTATGTTTTGAGCTGTACTGTACTGTACCCAATATACAAGCTGTTAATAAACTTTTCAATCAATCAATCAATCAGCATCCCTAGCAACCACCTTGGTAACAATGAAAACGTTATATCGACACAATTAATCTTCGTAATAACTAGCAAACTAAAGATCATGTACATCCACTGCACACATAATCTGAAATAACAACTCATATTTCTCGCATCAAATGACATCAAAACGCATTTTAATGGCCAAACTAACTTTAAAATAGGCATTTTACACCGAGAATAAAACGAAGTTCGGCCATGTTTTTTTTTTCTGCAGGGAGAAATGTGAAGATCACGTGACATAGACGCCAGCCATTGGAATGAATGGTGAAAAAAACGTAGGGATCTTACAATTTCAGAGGCGTTTTTGTAGAAATACTACGTCCTACGTTGTGGACCAACGTAGTTATTACACGTTTTTTTATGAGACTGGGTTGGTTCTTCCTCATTTCCCTCAATTGTTCATATTTGGTTTATTAAAATAATGATATTGTGGTCATTGTTAAAAAATGTCTGCTATTATTATGAGTAGCCTATTATTATTTGTATAATGCACTTTCTGCCTTCCTGTCATTAGGAGTTAGACATGTAATGGCTATGTAATTGATTTGATTAGAACCTTCATTATCCTAAACTGCTGGGACATTTCGCCAATACCTTTATATTGTCTACTCTTCACTTACTTGTCAGCATAGGTCGGCATTGATGTACAGAGCCGACAGAAGACCTTGTTTATATTGGCATCATATTGGTGCAGCCAGTGACGCGTCATAAAACCAGGAAGTAAGCTGCTGGTTCCCTCGACAAGGGTTTTGGAAAATAGCTGGAAATAAGGTCTGTGGAAAACAAACCTGTTTGATAAATGCATGTTTTGTTCAGCCGGATAATCTCCACATGTCTACCCTACTTTTATAATTTTCGAATCATAAATCTAATCGATAGATTATAAAAGGGTTTTAGGACGCGTCACTGCAGCCAACTCCATCGATCAAGCTGGCTGAAACTTTCTCTCCCTCTTCTTCTCATACTCCCTGTCACTCTCCTTTAACTCCTCCGGTGACTTTCTTTTATTTGAAGATTGTTTTTTGCACGGCGCTTGGCCGGTTACCGCTGGTATTAAAAACATTTGGCGAATGGTTAGGTGGCGCGATAGTCTGTAGTGAAGGAGCGCGCTCTCGCTCACGGGAGCCTGCTCCCGCTGCGCTCCGCAGCAAACAGCTGTTTGCTTTTCACCCAACAATGACAACCGACTCACGGAACGCTATGTTGTAGCGTTGATAAACGAAACAATTTAACTAAATTGCTTGTCAAAATACCAATACCACAGGACAATTTTTTTAAAGCAATATTTTTAGTGGCCCGAGCGGGCAAGTGGAAAGTACGTTATGCTGGCCCGGGGTGTCTAAATAGTGCTTCCGGGCCAGCGGGCCATTTAATGTCGAGCCCTGCCGGTTACCGGCCGGCCCACATCGTCCGACCGGCCCACTTCAGTACCGGCCCATCGGGATTCGTCCCGAACGTCCCGATGGCCAGTCCGCCCCGTCTGTCACATGTAACATTTACTAGGCCCTATGTGTCCAAAAAGGAGGAGGAGATATATAGTGGTATATGGTGTGAGATACTTGTGGTAATATAACGTAAAATGATACGATTGCACAGAAAAAATAAACATCATGTAACTGTTTTTGTAAGATGACTATATTCTAAATTGAGTTGTCAGGTGGTGAGTTTGGAGACTAAATCCTGTGCCAGAATGTACAAAAAAAACATGCAATTATTCATGCTTTTGCACGCTTGGAGCTCCACTTTGAAACCTCTGCCGTGTCCTTCATGCTTCCTCTCCAGTCTGTGGGCTGTGCGCCTCAGTGATGCGTCACATGGATAGGTGCGGTTTGCACAGCGCAACTCCCCAAATACTCCTCATTTGTCCGGTTACTGAGCTCGGGAAACAAGCACATCGGGAGCAGCTATGATTTGATGGTGTAACTTTAAAAAAAATAAATATAGTTTTGGATTTCCCTGTAGGGATGGAGTATGCAGCTCATTCTTAAACAGCCAAGACGTCTCAGTGAGTTGTGGCAACTGCGATGTGGAGCAGCTGCTGCAACAGCCTCGGTCTAACACCGCTGGACAGGCACCAGGTTCCACTCATCCAAATATGCGCGTAATTGGAGTGCACTTGCGAGGCGTCCCTTGCTACCCATGCGGGATAACGTCGTCGTGATGTTCAATACTTCGGGAATTGAGTTCACTTTTACCAAGAAGGAGGACATTTCCGAAGTTATCAATGGCTCTCTGCACCTTCTGTACGACGCCTTCACCACCGTCGGTCCCACGGCCATGTGGAACGAGTCTTGCGGGGAACAGCTGCAGGATTTCGGGCGTCCGGAGAAGATCATCATCGGGGTGATGCTGGCCATCATCACAGCGGTCACCGTTATGGGCAACACGCTGGTGGTGATCGCGGTGTGCGTGGTGAAGAAGCTGAGGCAACCTTCAAACTACCTTCTGGTTTCTCTGGCAGTGGCCGACCTGTCCGTAGCCATCGTGGTGATGCCCTTTGTGATAGTGACAGACCTCACCGGGGGGAAGTGGCTTTTTGGAGAGGTGTTCTGCAACATCTTCATCGCAATGGATGTAATGTGCTGCACTGCCTCCATCATGACCCTGTGTGTGATCAGCGTCGATAGGTAAGTTGGCAAAGTTATAGCAACTAGAGAAAGCCTGTCAATTTGCACTGGTAACAACATTACGCATGAAGCATGGGCGGTTCTAGGGGGGTAACTCTGTGCTTGGACCCCCCTGTGGCCCCCCTCCAAAAGTGAATTGAATTTTCAAATGAAATTAATTCAACGTTTATTTATAAAGCCCAATATGACAAGAAACAACATTAATGACAGTGTAAAAGATAATACAAATTACAGAAAAGTATAAAAGACATTATAGAACGTGAAATACAACCAAAAGATAGTACAAATACAATAAAAACAATACAATAAAACACCATAAAAGAGTCAGGAGTACAAACATAGGGTAATCTGAAACCATAGTGTAGCAACTGATACTGTGCTGTAAAACTGCATTTAGGTCAAAGATAAGGTAAGTAACGAAACAAAAATCGTTACAAAGTCAGAAAACAATAATGGTATTTTTAGTTTATTTTTTGTGCGCTATGACTTTACTGAAATGTTAAAAATGTTAACACTGTTTTTGAGCCCTTGTCCAGCATTAAATGTGCCCAATTTCTCATCAATAACTGGCCCCAGCATGGCCACCTGCAGAACAATTGGTCTGGAACCACCATGGCACATGTACCCTGAGATTAAAGCTGTGTTATAAGCAGCTCGAAGTAGGAGCAGAAACAGTTAAAGTACCAAACACAGTAATGCATTTGTTTTTGTGCCAGGGAATGATGTCTAAATACATCACTCCACATGATCCATTATTCCTCTGTGCGGTTAAAACCACAAAAGATTGATATTACATTACATTACATTGCATTTAGCTGACGCTTTAATCCAAAGCGACTTACAATAAGTACATTCGACCAGGAAGATATGAACAACATCCACATATAGATGTCTATGTTGTTGCTTTCACAAAGAGGACACAGCTCCATTAACAGAAAATGAATACGCAGACTGTGATTCAGGAAAATCTGAAATAGTAAATGACCTCTAGGAGATGCAACACCACTACAAAGCAACAGAAACTGAGCACAGGGACACAACATGACTTCAGATAGATGCTAACTGACCATAACAAAACAAAAAGACACACAAAATTAACATAAAGACGATAACTGACAACGATAAGATCCAACATGACCTCAAAGACATTCATACAACAAAGAGATAGACATAAAAAACAACCAAAAAAGGGATGTATTAAAGAATGCAGGTATGAACAACCTCCACATAAAGATGCCTAGATGTTGTTGCTTCCACAAAGAGGACACAGCTCCATTACCAGTGGATACGCAGACTGTGATGAATTTAAATCATGCTTAATTAATTTCCCTGACCGGACGATGAGCTGTGTTTCTTGTAATTACGCTTGATCTCGCCCATGGACCTTACAGCTGCTCTGACTTTGAAACATAATTCACCTTCGTCCTTCATTTTACACACACAGCTTCAGTCTCACTTTATTGAATCGTGGGACCCTGTATCTCCGGTTAGATGGTAACAATTCATATTCACTGTTAAGGACATGTGTAGCGGCAAAAACTCCCCATGAGTTATGCCGCTGAGAGGCTAAAACTTGCTCTTCACTGTGATGCGTTATAAGTTAGCAAAATCAATCAAATGTAGGTCAATTATGCTTGATACAACAGCCCCAGCTCTCCAGAGAGTTTCATTTAATTTGTTAGCAGCTCACCCCTCAGCACAACAGGAGCCCCAGATTGATTATCATAAGAGGAAATATGAAGGGTATATTTCAAGGTTGTTATGTATAAGTTATTGGGCTTTTTTCTTATTGACTTAGATTTGTTAGAACATATTTTCAAATTGAATTGACTGAATTTATTGTAAATGGGGCTTATTGTCACATGAATACTAAGGTGTAATATATGCTTACAGATATATTTAAGAAGTACAATACAAGAAAAGCTCACGTTTCATTTGTGGGCCGTATTCCATTATACTTTTTGAGTTTGCTGAGGGCCGATTCAAAATGTCCCGCGGGCCACATTTGGCCGCCGTGCCGTAGTTTTGACACCCCTACCGTAGTCATTTAGAGTTCTTGGTGTTGTAATAACGACAGAAAAACAAACAATATCTAACTCCGGAGCAATTCACCCTCTCCTCTTTGTCATACACCCAAAACCGGCATCCAACAGGTCAGCTAAATACCAATAAACCACACTCACGTGACAATTGCCGGAAGTGATAACCAATAAGAATTAAACGAGGTGCAAACATAAATACACTGGAAGAAAAGCTGCTCCAAAAACAAGTGAAACAATTAGGAAAACTTGGTGTTTTCACTTCAAATAAGTAACAATCTGCCAATAGAACAAGTGAACATTAGCTTGGTTAGATGTCTTGAAATAAGAAGGGATATTTAGATAAATCACATCTTGTAATTAGCTGGAGAACTCATTTTGAACTATATTTGACCAGAATCAGGAAATGTTGTGTTACAATATAAGCCGCACATGCTCCAAAGTGTTCTGTTTTCTGATGTTAGTTAAAAAATATGTGTTTCATCTGAGATACGACTCAAAATAAGATTTGTTTGACTTAACAAGATGATGCATTGTCTAAAAACAAGACCCTATATCTCACTGCGGTGTTACTTCTGAAGTTATTGTGTCTTATATCAGGTGTAGAGACATATTCTGACTAATCAAATCAAATCAAGTTTTATTTATATAGCACATTTATAAACGATTTTTGGTCGAGCCAAAGTGCTGTACATATAATAAAAATAGCCTACAGTAGAGACACTTTACAGCAAATACAACAGCACAGATTGTTCAGAATATCAGTATGAGAAAAACGACAACCTCTGTCCTTAGACCCTCTGTCCTTAGACCCTCACATCGTATAAGGAAACACTTCCAGAGAAAACCCACAGTTTAAAGGGAACATGGGAGAAACCTCAGGGAGAGCAACAGAGGAGAGATCCCTCTCCCAGGACGGACAGACGTGCAATAGATGCCGTGTGTAAATCGAAGAGATAATACATTTTACAGCATATAGACCGAATGTTAGGAAATGCATGTGTCTGTAATAAGAAGATGAATCCACGAGGATGTCAGCTACAATCCTGTGGAAGCCATCAGGGAAGCAGCATGACGAGACCCAAGGCAGGACCGCAGAGACAGGTTCAGCCACGACCCGAAGTCCACGACTTAATCCAGAACTCAGGATAGAGGATCCAAGACACAGGACTACAGCAAGAGGATCAGCCTCGACTCCGGATCCCGGCGTAGATATAGATACAAAACAAGAAAAAAGATTTGGCTGGGTTAATCGGAACAAGAGAATACACAGACACAGACAGAGAGGGAAAAGGTCATTGGATAAAAGTTATTCTTGATAACCCTCTAGAAAGATCTCATGAACTTCCCCACTCAATCTATCAAGACCCGAGCAGTTCTATTAGATATAGATAAGAAACAGAGAGAGGGAGCACATATTAGAAATTAGATACTAGATATTAGACAAAGATACTTGGCAAGATTTTGAGTTTTTGTAGTGTGAAGATAATAATAGAAATAATAAGCAATGGCAAAACAATAATTTTGGCTCCGACAACATGGTTGGGGTTAGAGATGATGTTGTTATGGTCGGCTGATTCATAAAGTCTCTCACAGACCTACAATCTTTGAGCAGATTTTGAAGTAAATTATTCATTCAAGTTAGTTCCCAATTTCCCAACAGTGTGTTGCATTACATTCCTTATTCAAAATGGGAAAAGTAAACACCCATCCCTTCATTCATCAAGATCCACTTCCACTATCTCAAGGCGAGGCAAGTTTATTTAGACAGCATCTTTCAACACAAGGCAATTCAAAGTGCTTTGCAAAAAATAAAAACCGTCAAGGGCTTTAAGAGTCAGTTCAGCAGAATCAGATTATAAAACGGTATTTAAAAACAGTCATTTAACAGCAAACACAATAAAATATATTGTCTTTGCGTTTAAAATATAATAATAAGAATACATTTGATTTATGGAGCGCTTCTCATGGTAATCAAAGACACTTTACATGCTGAAACTCATACAAACAACACACTTAAAATATATAAAACACAACGATAATAAGAGATTAAAAGCAGTTCTGACGAGGTGAGTTTTGATTTGAGATTTGAATGAAGACAGATTGGTGCAAATAAGCTAATATAGAATAACACAGGTGTAAAATACATGAATAAGAGTTACAGTGCAGTGTAAGATATGAATAGTTTGATTAAAAGCGGCTGGGTTTATAATGCCAGAGCTCATTCTGATATTTCCAGTGCTCCCACTATAATATGAACTCAATTAAGAGTCAATTGATCATTGTTCTGCCTCAGTAGCCATAATGAAGATAGGGGGCTCATTGGAGTATTGGTGATCTGATTAATCCTCCATCTTGCCAATCAGGTGTTGTTCCCTCAGTGCATTATTTATATGAATGTTGAAGCACTGTGGAGCACGAGGGAGTTAAGTGTTCCTGAGGAAGATAATGAAATTATGGGAGGAAGTGGATCCCGGGTATCATTGTGTGATATAGTGTAATTGAGAATGTGTTTTGAGCTGGTTGGACAAAGGGTTAGGTCACAGAGGTCACAGAGGTCATGTTATTGACAATGGACGGATAGATTTACGTCTGTGGCAACTCCCCAAGGAAGGCTGAAAAACTAAGTCTTATATTAAAGCATTTCTGTAGAGTCTAGACTACTCAGGCCATATTCACAAACACAAGGGAAAACAATTATGTTATATCCACTCCAAGAAAGGCTAACAAACACAATTTGTCAATCTTATTTTAAAACATTATATATCTTATACCTCAGACAACGCAGGCCAAATTCACAAACACAAGGGAAAAGAGAATTTAAATTATATCCTCATATTAACATTATGTCAACTGTAACACACCTGAAAACGACATGTTGGAGTTTTACAAGAGTGTGTAGAAACCATTTAGCAACCAATAATAGAAGTTTAAACCAGGGGCTAAACGTAATGACTTAAT